AGACGAGAAACTGCGACACCGTTGGCAGAAGGAAGAATAGAGAGAAATATGTGGAAATAATACCATAAATAAAATGTTACCTTTGATTAAAGCCAATCTTAAAATGATTAAACAAACGCCTGTTTGCGACTCCTCAGTGCACACAAAAACATAACTTGGAGAAATAAATAAATACGGATATGTTATTTAAAACCACCTCGAATATGTTGTGTTAATGTTATGAAATGTTTTCTCATAAATGATGCGGTTTTGCATTTCTATAGGTTGTACGAGCATGGTTTTATATACTACCATGTTTAATCATGTTTTATGCCGTTTGCTAAGACTTGATAAGTCGCTCGTAAAACACAGGAGGTATGGAAACTAAGAACACCATATGTGGTCAATTGTACAGCTAATATAACACAACACATTAGTTGTATTTCCTTTAACTGGTGGATATAGAGTTGCTGCAGTGGAGACGCTGCGCACAGCTGATCGACAGCTGGGACACAAACCACCAAATACGAAAACATAATTCAGATCCAGTCGTCATGACTCCACTCCGGAGGGATTCCCCGATCATTTCTTACAGTTTCTCATCAAGGGGGGGTCTCCTGTCCCCGGTACAAACACACTGCCTGAGGAATGTGTATTATTTTTGTCATGAACCTTTTTCGGACCACTTATTTATTTATTTTGGTGACGATCCAACCTCCATGCTGCTACTCTGGTTCAAACTGCATCCACCAAACAATATGATTTATCTCGACCTCCCCAAAATTACCAAAATCTGACACGGTGTGAGATGTCTTTTTTAGCTGTTCTGTCGTCATTTCCTGCGATCTTCTTCATGCAGTCAGTCAAAATGAATGAATGGGCGTTTCTTTGACTATTTATAGACAAATATGGGCGTTACGTGAAGCCCGCAAAAGCTGCACCGCATTTCGAGTCGATTGTGATTTATAAAGGGAAACCGGCGTAGGAAGTCCTGTACGCACTTTCCTCGCCGGTACGCAATGTTTGGTGAATCGGAAAATTTCTGTACCTATTTTTTGGATTTCTACTACGTAAGCAACCTTCCCACATGAATCCTATGCACGGCGTTATAAATGAGGCCCCTGGTCACAGGGATGCATTCAAATGTAGTCAGTAATTTGAGGAACTGTCGAAATGGCGAACGCAGATAAAGTTGAGCTCGCAAATCCTCCAGCATCATTGAAGTCTCCGGTTTGGGAACATTTTGGTTTTGCAGTTACGTACAAGGATGACGAACAAAGACAGGTGGACCGAACCAAAGCTGTTTGTCGGCATTGTTCAACTAAAATTGGTTACGCGGCTGGCAATACATCAAACTTGCACACTCATTTGAAAAGGCATCACCCGAACGTGAATATCACCAGTACCAAAAGAAAAAAGACTGAAGTGCAAACCCAACTCCCACTAGCATTTAAGCCTCCACCACTCGCAAAAAGTTCAGACCGAGTCAAAGCTATTACAAACGCCAAATATCCTTATGTTGCCATGTTAGCAAAGCGCTACCTGGCTGTATCTGCTACCTCTGTCCCTAGCGAGAGGGTGTTCTCCATAGCAGGAGACATTGTTAGTGCCAGCAGATCTGTCCTTTCGGCAAGCAATGTGGACAAGTTCATTTTTCTTAAAAAAAACATGAATATACAATGACAAGCAAGTCATAATGTCAAACTGGCTGCTTAGGTACTAGTACAGTAGTTCAAGTACAGATTATTTCAGTTCATCGAAATGCTGCACCTTAATGTTTATTTCATTATATTTTGTATTATTTGAGTGAATATTCACAGTTTAATAATAGTTAAAAACCCCAAACAAATATGTTGTGTTTTGTGAGTAATATACAGTAAAGTTCAAATACAGATTATTTCAGTTCATCGAAATGCTGCACCTTAATGTTTATTTTGTATTTATTTGAGTGAATACATCATTCACAGTTTAATAATAATTAAAAACCCCCACAAAATATTTTATGTTTTGTGATCATTCTTTCTGCTGTACCAAAAACGTACCGAACCGTGACCTAAAAACCGAGGTACTTATCGAACCGAAATGTTGGTGAACCGTTACACCCCTATTCAGTCATGTTAATTTTCATTGTACAGTTTGTTTATCTCTTCATTCATTCATTCATAGTATCACAACAGTGGATGGAAGTCCGCACCTCGACTCTGAGCTCCTTGTGATCAAACTGGTGAAGGTAACGAATAATGGTGCCATGCTATTGATTCATGTTATCATTCATGTATTCATTCATTCATTCATTTGTATATGTGTCTTCATGTCAGAACACTGGAAAGGTTTTGTTATAAACATCCTTGATCAAGTACTGTATTAACTCTTTTAAATAATATTCGTAGTCGTATTTTCCAGGTCTTGTCCGTAGCCTATTTGCTTATCAAATGCTTCCCTTTGAGAATTGAGCTGTCAGCTTCTATTGGCTTTCATTTGCTCCCCTGAATCGCTACATAAAAACAAGAGTAAAGTCATCAAGCCAGCCACAAAATCACTATTGCTCCTCCTCATAACATTAGGGAAAGTGTTGGCAATTTCCACAACTTGATGCATTTATCCTCAATTCATTACCGTTGCTGACAGTTCTTTCATGAGAGGTAATCAAAGCAAAACCACAGCTACCAGAGCCTTCTTATAAAAGCAGCAGTATGTTTGCAGACGTATGTCTGTTAGTAAGCCCTGTAGGAGGCGAGTCGGCCTATAATCCAGGAGCTTATCTGTTGTGTTTGTGTTGTGAAGCAGCTTAAATTGTGCAGGTACAACACACGCTCTTCTCCTGACAGGATGCCAGTCCACTGCAGAGACTTTTCTCCGATGTTATCTCTGTGAACATTGATTGCCAATCAGAGAAGCACAGAAGTCCCATTTTTTAAAAGCCTCCAACAGCTGTTCCAATACTTAATTAAACCAGAACATGTTTTTTCAGCAGTACACATGTGCTAGCCTTGTAAGAACTATAAATACGAGATATTATGCTAATGTTCAGGTTCATATTTCTATTTTGTGCATCTACTGTGACATGTTTACAAACTTTAATGTTCAAAAGTTGCTTATTTTTCTCATACTGCCTGTGCTGCAGCACCTCTTTTCACCCTCTGTCTGAAACCAGAGGCCAGTCTGCTCTGATTGGTTAGCTGGCCGTCTCTGTTGTGATTGGTCAACTGCCTAGAGATTTGTCTCTGCAAATCTCTTGCCATTTCAGACCATTTACATGCACACAAACCTATACAACTCAGTGCAGGAAAGGGAAAACTGCAAGAAGCATAATAGACCCTCTTTAAATCTGTATTAGAAGATATACTTTATTCTGTTGAAGGTTTAGGACCATACTCATATTTCAGTAGTGTAAAGTACCTTTACTCAAGTACTGTACTTAAGTACATTTTTGAGGTACTTCTACTTTCTTCTATGCTACTTCATACTACTACTCAACTACAAATTGCACTTTTTATTCACTACTTTTATTTTCCTATATTTATTATTACTTATTTTGCAGGTTCATAATATTATGAATAAAACTAAATTGACTAATGGATTAAGATTTGACTAATATACATCGCTGCAGAAAAAGTCAGTGAAGTTGGCTCCACCTTTACAATCTGCAAAATTAAAATGATGTTCACATTAAAGGGGCCCTATTATGCTTTTATGGGGTTTTCCCTTTCCTATAGTGTGTTATATAGTAGGGCTGAACGATTAATCGATTTTAAATCGAAATCGCGATTTTAAATGATGCGATTATCAAATCGCAAAGCCTGTGATTTTTTTTACATTTTTTTTTTTTTACAATTTTTTTTTTCTTTGTGTCAGTCATCCACACCAATCAGAAGTGCTGTGCTCCACATGTACCAGCCATTGTTAATCAATCAGAAGTAGCCCATGATAGAAGGTGATAGACAGATTGATCCAATCACCTGCCAAGTGCTTCTGAAAGTGCCTGCCCTTTCCAAATGGCTTCCAATGGAGCTTTAGATGGTTTGGTGAAACAAAGCATCTGGGTCAGGTTAGTAATGCTCCATCACTATTACAGGGTGAATCTTAAACTGAAGCTCGACTTTAAAGCAACCCAACGGTAGTTTCATGTAAGTTTAGTTTTTTCACTCGTAGCTCTGGCTGCGGGGGTGCTAGAGACGGGAGTACGTTGATACGACCTTCCTAGCCGGAGTTATGACCGCATTTTACAATAAACTTCCGTTGGGTCGCTTAAAAAAAAAAATATCGCAATTCGAATCGCAATCGCGTCGAAAGGAGCCAGTTGAGGTGGTTCGGGCACCTAGTTAGGATGCCACCTGGGCGCCTCCCTAGGGAGGTGTTCCAGGCACGTCCAGCTGGGAAGAGACCAAGGGGTAGACCTAGGACCAGGTGGAGGGATTATATCTCTTCGCTGGCCTGGGAGCGCCTTGGGATCCCCCAGTCAGAGCTGGTTGATGTCGCCAGGGAAAAGAAAGTTTGGGGCTCTCTGCTGGAACTGCTACCCCCGCGACCCGACCACGGATAAGCGGGAGAAGATGGATGGATGGATGGATGGAATCGCAATCGCAATATTTGTCAGAAAAATCGCAATTAGATTTTTTCCCAAAATCGTGCAGCCCTATTATATAGGTTGTTGTACATGATAATGTACTGCAATGGCTAAAATCCCCAAATCCACACCAGAGGGAGTTCCTCTCACCATCATCTTTCACTTTTTAAATACAATTCTATATGTCAGATTGATACATGTAACATACTGTATCTCTACACTGTAGTATTACAACTTTTACTTAATTTAAAATGTGGATTACTTCTTAAACATATATTTAGCTCTCTTGTTCACCCTTTAATTTATTCTCCAAGCTTGGTGCATACGAATAAAAGAAGCGGCAGCTTAATGAAGTGTGATGAGAAGCTTATGAAATTCCCTCTCAATGAGGCTGAAGTAATACTTTTTGTGTGAAGTGCTTTGTCTCACTGTGCAATCTTTGCTTGACTTCCAGGGTTTGGTGTTTGAGGAGGAGAGACCGCCGCCGCCGAACCAGGCCCCTCTGGCCCCTATGCTGGAGTTTGTCTCCGCCCAGACGGGGGTTCCTGTGGTAGCCGTAGGGGGAGGGGCCAGCCTGGGACGAGAGCAACAGGTAGACATTGATTTATTTACGTTGCATCATCTACCCTTTTTATTTCTATTGAACTAATTATAGGACTGTCTGTAAAAGATGAAACAAAGACTGTAATAAATAATGAGGGCAGTGTTTGAAAAAATTACTTCTCAAGCACTACTGTTTGAAATTAAGGTAAATATTGATTCTTTATGGTTGGAGGATACATTTCATAGGTCCCTTTCAAAAACAATAGTCAGGTGAAGCTTAACATGTTAACAGTTTTGCTGTAGGCATTCCTTCTGTTTATACTGACAATAAAATCATCACAGATACAAATGCATTTTCATTTTAAATGATGGGAGACAAAATCCATAGTCCTTGTTTTGTTCAAAAATATATTCCAAAGTTCCTCTGAGGATAATATAATGCTTATTTTTACATTCCCTCTCTTTGTTAAAATATTCAAAGTAGCTCAATGGGGAAATACAAACAGTTAATGACTTTAAAAAATGATAAAGCTATCCTTTGATTTAAAAGGTGCTTAGGGTTTAGTTATGGTTTGTACCAGCCGTTGCGGGCACACATTAGATTATGTATTTTATCAGTAAATGACTATCCAGAAATGTAGTGAATGAGACTGCAGTCTTTCCCTGGAAGGCAACTGTTCCTTTATATCACTTTTGGGGCACTTTTGATGTATATTTGTTAAGTGTGAAAGTGGAGATGGATAGGAAATGCAGAGACAAGAATAAGGGATTGACATGCTGCAAACCGTTTGGCCACAGAAACTTGATGCTTATGTTGCATGAACCCTAATCATTGTTCTATTGGATCACCCAACAACTGTTTCTTGACTGAATGTTTTCTCATGAGGTTTACATTAATGACATAGCAAGTCCTCTTTTTCTAAAGTATGATTAATATAACATTTGAATCATAAGTAATACATCAATCATGTTTGCATACATGCATCATGATTCATTTTGCTGGCCGCTTGGGAGCAGTGGAAAAATATGTTACACATTAACATAGTATGACCTTTTACAGTATATATGGTAAACATAGGAGGAAGTAATTGCCTATTTACACATCCCGCAGACATAAAGCCACACTAACATGTATATGTAGTTGCGTGTTTGGCCTCTGGATGTCCAATATTAACCCTCCTTCCAGTGTTGTTTTGGTCTCATATAATTCCTAAATAGTCTGTTTGTTCACCTGCTAGTTGCTAACTTTGTCTGCATGCTGTTTGGTGCTGAGTTATTTCTATGAGAGCTGTGGGACTCGAGCAGAAAGTCAAAAAAATAAAGTAATGCGGAAAACGATGCTAAGAGCAGAACAATTTGGTAAACACAGTGTGAGGAGAGCGTATTATCTATTTTGACATTGTCCGTATCATGTCATTTGATCCATTGTCAATAATTAACACAGAGGTTTTAACACCAGCACTTATTATGTTAATAAAGTTAAGGATATGTAGTGTCATGCAGACTAAAGTCAATTTTTAGTCTATATTTATTTTCTGGATTCTAAACATATCAGGAAATATGCTGCTCGAGCTTCCTCACTAAGCGATAATGAAGAAGAGGAAATGTAATATTTGTCAGAATTGCTCTAGTTCTGTCACTGCCGCTAAGCCCATCAGTATCAGAACTGCTTTTCATCACCGAGTTGAGAAAATGTGTTAATAATTTGACATTTTCTTGCTGCACACTGTTTGAATGTTGCAGTAGTCCAGATGACAACTGAGAAAATATGTAGCGTTGGCAATCAATATGTTTTATTCTTGCTACAAACTTCTTGCTACAAAATTAACCATCCAGTGAATCAAGATGACTACCGTTTGCCCTTGTTTAAAATTATGATTGCTACCCATTGTTGCAGAATAATAAATTGGTGTCAGCTCTCCAAATGGCACTAGTGCTAACTATATCAACTTAACAAAGCAGTTTATCATGACAGGTGAGATTTTTTAATAGCTGGGTCAATTAGTTGCCGAGACACCCCAGGTGAATAGGGTAATTTTTTTAACTTAAAGGTATCAGCTAGAAATTTCTCCAGTTAATTACTTACAATAAGGCAATTGTCTTTTTGTATTACAAGTTTTCTGAAATAGCATGTTTAAATATGCAAATTAACCATTATCTCATTACATATGCACATATTTTAACACATTTCAGGAATCGAAATCTGAACTTTGGATATAGCCAGATTCAAAATTCTTGTTTCATTTTGTAGTCATATTAGTATCTAAGGCTTTTACAGAAGGGATATTGGATATCTCTTTTTATCACTCCATAAATCAGAAAATACTGTCAACAGGCCTAAAATATCCATTTTCGCCATGTTTTTAGGTATACAATGTTGTATAATTCAGGCTATGAATTATATATGAACAAACCCTTCTGTAAAAGCCTTCATAATATTGATAGGAATATAACTGGAAGGTTTGGTGTATGTACGTGCTACTGAAGTTGACATTTCGAACTCAGAGTAGGAGAAAAAACTCATTTTGAGAAAACGACCTTGCAGTGATGCGCTAGCTAAACCCTCTGTTCTTTGGATGACAGCTTGCGCATCGACGCACTCCGTGAAGGTATTTCATGTTCAGGGTCTTTTTATTTTTTTATAACCTTGCTTCGTGCAAGTGACAATTGTTGTCGTCTTCTCTGTGAACGTTTTTTTCGCCGTTCTTTTGGCATTTTGAGATTTCAATTTCTAGCTGAAAGCTAACCAGGAAGTGTTTTAGCACACCACGTGACGCATCTGAACGAATCACGTTGTCATAAATTGACACCAGCCAATGAGATTTCGTTTCTTGGTTTAAGACCCCTTTGTGCTTTCACGATTGGTTGCTGATACAAGGAAATGACCATATTTGGATCCGATGAGATTGTGCAGGAGAGACGGAGCTTTCCAGCGATACCTCTGTTGACATGGTGCACACAGCGGTCGCGGTACTTTATGTTACGTTAGAATGCTAACTTTTGGTGAATTTAGGAGAAATCTACAGACGCAAATAGACAAACTATAGTAAAAATAAACACTTAAATGTGTATTTTGTACGTTTTCCTTCCAAAAGCCTGAAAGAAAACATGTTATGGAATCAAAATAGCACAAAATCTCAAAATTGACCAGTACTTGAAAAACGATGTTTTTGCCTGCCGTGTCTCGCCTTAAGTGGATCTCTTTGACGCATTGGGATTTCCACCAAAGAATGGAGTCAGCTACGCATTTGATGAGTTACACACTCAGCTTGAAACTGATCTGTCAGCATCTGAAATATTCATTATCAAAAGCGGCTGTGATTAAGGTCAGAGGTGAGTTTGCTTTGAAGTCGCACAAGGTACAAAACTACTTTTTTTCCTGGTGGAATCAGTAAAGTCATTTTGATTATATTTCTACACCTATAATATGCTCTACATTGAAATACTAATGCTATATGTTTTACTGAGCATAGTATGTTAATAACCCTTCATATTCTAATATATAAGCTCACTGAGCTTTATGATCATGCTTTCAAAGGACAAGCTGCTCATAGACACTCAGATAAGATATTGGATGAGATAAAGCCCATGGCACACCAGTCAAACATCTTCCAACAAACACTGATGTTTGGTTGGAGTGTCATTGATATATTTCCTTTTAAAGAGATATTTGGTCAGATATGTGTTATCTCAGTTTTTCAATGTTTGATGAGGTGTTTTGATACTGACCCCATTACAACTGATTGTAAAAGCTCTGTCCTTAATTCATGAAAGTTATCCTCTTCACTTAGTTTTCTTTCTTTCTTTTTTAGCTCACTTAGAGTAATGTGATTAGCTCATTTCTAGCAGATAACAAGGTTTTTTGCTCATTTCTATCCAATATGTTCTTTCTCACACAGGCTCCGCCCTCTACTGGACTCTATGGGTACTACTCTCATCAATGATACGCGAGCGTTCACACACTGAAATTGTATAAACGTAGCCGGCCAATCAGGGCAAGCCTACCTGAATGCGCGCGCAAGCACACAGTATATAAAGCGGCTACGCCTCCTGAATGTCATCCTTTTCTCTTCAGCAAGCAGGACAAAACCTGACAGAGTAAAAACGTTTGAAAGAAGAAGAAATAAGTTATCATACCTTCATGGAGACGCCACTTCTAGAGACCCGGGCCTGTCCTTCGTGCCCTGGCTTATTAATAGCGGGCGCCGATCCCCACCATCTCTGCTTCGAGTGTTTGGGGGATGGCTCTGTTTGCCGGGGAGGAGGATGACGAGGACTTCTCGTTGTCGGGGACTTCAGGGTCCATGGAAGTCCGCCGCTCAGGGTGCAGGGCCGCACGGACACAGCATGTCCCAGCGTGTGTCCCCTTGATGAGAGCCTGGCACCCCATCTGCTTCCACAGGCAGCAGACTGGGCGGAGAACCTCTGCCCCACTGCCGCGTGACAGGCCAGCTGCAAATAACACGGCTGTGTTGGACGTCTCGCTGATTGCTCTTCCGCAAGATGCCCCCACCTCACCGGATCAGAGCGATTATTTGGCCGCAGCATCGGACAAATTAATATCCTGGTCCATGGTGTGGGCTTGCCGTGTGATGTCCCTGGCCACAGTGGGATCACACCACGTGGCACTTTCCAAAAAAAGACCGTGATGATCTCCTGGGATTTCCTCGGTCACGTGGATGAGGAGAAGTCGCAGCTTGGCCGTATGCTGCTTCTTGCTCATCCTCAGAGAAGAGAACACTGTCCCACACTCGCCGCCCCGCTGTAACGGCCCGTCCACACTACAGCTTCAAAAAAAGCTTGGAGCTGGGCGTGTCTGAAGCTCGACCAACAACCAATCACATGAATCTCCCGCCCCTGACACACAAGCAGCGGTTTGATTGGCTAGAGCTTGTACTGGCATATGATTTGATTGGCTGACGCTTCCACCGAAAGCTTCAGAAGCTTCAAAAGTTGAACATTGCTCAACTTTTGCAGCCTGAAACGCCAGGAAAGCTCCGCTCTGCTTCCCACAATGCAGTTCGGCGAAAAGTGACGTCACCCCATTAG